GCACACATGGGGTTCCCGAATTGTACTGGGGCAACTGATGGGATCCATGTGCCTATTATTTGCCGCCCTGCACCAATTATCAGAGTTTATAAACAGACAGGGGTATTTCTCTGGGGTATACCTCAGGCTGGTGGATCACTTTGGATGATCACTGGTGGATCACTGTGGCAGGTTCCCAAACATCAATGCAGGGTGGTCGGGAAAGGTCCACGAAGCTATGATCTTTCAGACTTCATGTCTGTTTCCCTTAATGAGCAGTGGAGAATGTGCCCCCAGGATCACTACGGACATCAATGGTATGGTCCTAGGAGATCCAGTTTAGCCTCTGCTTCCCTGACTGATGGAGCCCTTTGCCAGGCCCTTGGATACAAGACAGAAGCTGTTTAACTTGCCTGAGCAGCTGCAGGATGGCCATGGGGTGTGCACCTGGCCGTTTGAGAGGCAGGTAATGTCTCAGGATAAAGTTGGAGGCCACAGTGCACTATCGGCTTCAATTAAAGCTGCGTGCTGTGTTTTGTACAATATCTATGAAAGAAAGGGAAAGAGCCTTAATGAGGGCTGGGAGGCAGAGGTGCGGAGGCAGTATGCCCTCCTGCCTAACACAGTCCAGAGAACTTCCCTGAATCCATTCCTGTTTCAAATACAGCAGATCTTTTAGAAAAAAAAATCCACTCTTGATTTAAAAATTGCCAGTGGTGGAGAATCCCCATTGACCCTGGTAAATTGCTCCTATGATTAATTACCCTCATTGCTAAAAGGTTATGCTTTTTTCCTGTCTAAATTTGTTTAGCTTCAACTTCCAGCCGTTGGATCATGCTATGCCTTTCTCTGCTAGATTGAGGAGCCTATCATAAAATTCTTGTTCCCCATGTAGGTACTTACAGATTGTAATCAAGTAAGTTGATTGTCATCTTTGACTCAGACCTCTCTCTCAGTTCTCACATCCAGGTTATGTCCAAATCTTGCCAATTCCTTCTGCGTAACTTCTCTAAGATACCTGTCCAGCCACAGAGCAAAAATTCTCATCCAGGTTCTCCTCACCTTGCATCTCAATTACTGCAACATCCTTTTCTCCGGCCTTGACAAATGCAGTCTTGCCCTGCTCATATCTATTCAGAATGCTGCTGCGAAGATTGTTTTCCTAGCCCATCACTTTCACCATATCACCCCTCTCTTTGCATCCTTTCGCTGGCTCCCTCTTCTCTATAGCATCAAGTATAAGCTGCTTGTCTTCATTTTCAAGGTCCTTTCTGGTCAATCCCCATCCAGCCTATCATCTTTCATTCGCTCTAGAGCTGTCAATGCTTGCCTCCTATTGGCCTATGTTGCCAGCCTCTATGGCCCACTTCTTAAATTTTCAAACAAGCTCTTTCATGCTTTCTCCCTTCTTCCCCTGATATTTGGGAGGCGCCTCCTATAAACATCTGCAAAGCTATCTCATTATCCTCTTTCAAATCATAGAATCATAGAATCATAGAATATCAGGGTTGGAAGGGACCTCAGGAGGTCATCTAGTTCAACCCCCTGCTCAAAGCAGGACCAATCCCCAACTAAATCATCCCAGCCAGGGCTTTGTCAAGCCTGACCTTAAAAACTTCTAAGGAAGGAGATTCCACCACCTCCCTCGGTAACGCATTCCAGTGCTTCACCACCCTCCTAGTGAAAAATTTTTTCCTAATATCCAACCTAAATCTCCCCTACTACAACTTGAGACCATTGCTCCTTGTTCTGCCATCAGCTACTACTGAGAACAGTCTAGATCCATCCTCTTTGGAACCCCCTTTCAGGTAGTTGAAAGCAGCTATCAAATCCTCCCTCATTCTTCTCTTCTGCAGACTAAACAATGCCAGTTCCCTCAGCCTCTCCTCATAAGTCATGTGTTCCAGTCCCCTAATCATTTTCATTGCCCTCCGCTGCACTCTTTCCAATTTTTCCCCATCCTTCTTGTAGTGTGGGGCCCAAAACTGGACACAGTACTCCAGATGAGGCCTCACCAATGTTGAATAGAGGGGAACAATCACGTCCCTCGATCTGCTGGCAATGCCCCTACTTATACATCCCAAAATGCCATTGGCCTTCTTGGCAACAAGGGCACACTATGGACTCATATCCAGCTTCTCATCCACTGTAACCCCTAGGTCCTTTTCTGCAGAACTGCTGCTGAGACATTCAGTCCCTAGTCTGTAGCGGTGCATGGGATTCTTCCGTCCTAAGTGCAGGACTCTGCACTTGTCCTTGTTGAACCTCATCAGATTTCTCTTGGCCCAATCCTCTAATTTGTCTAGGGCCCTCTGTATCCTATCCCTACCCTCCAGCATATCTACCTCTCCTCCCAGTTTAGTGTCATCTGCAAACTTGCTGAAGGTGCAATCCACACCATCCTCCAGATCATTAATGAAGATATTAAACAAAACCGGCCCCAGGACAGACCCTTGGGGCACTCCACTTGAAACTGGCTGCCAGCTAGACATGGAGCCATTGATCACTACCCGTTGAGCCCGACAATCTAGCCAACTTTCTATCCACCTTATCGTCCATTCATCCAGCCCATACTTCTTTAACTTGCTGGCAAGAATTGTGTGGGCGACCATGTGAAAAGCTTTGCTAAAGTCAAGGAACAACACGTCCACTGCCTTCCCCTCTTCCACAGAGCCAGTTATCTCGTTGTAGAAGGCAATTAGATTAGTCAGGCATGACTTGCCCTTGGTGAATCCATGCTGACTGTTCCTGATCACTTTCCTCTCCTCTAAGTGCTTCAGAATTGATTCCTTGAGGACCTGCTCCATGATATTTCCAGGGACTGAGGTGAGGCTGACTGGCCTGTAGTTCCCAGGATCCTCCTTCTTCCCCTTTTTAAAGATGGGCACTACATTAGCCTTTTTCCAGTCGTCCGGGACTTCCCCCAATCTCCATGAGTTTTCAAAGATAATGGCCAATGGCTCTGCAACCACATCCGCCAACTCCTTTAGCACTCTCGGATGCAATGCATCCGGCCCCATGGACTTGTGCTCGTCCAGCTTTTCCAAATAGTCCCGAACCACTTCTTCCTTCACAGAGGGCTGGTCACCTCCTCCCCATGCTGTGATGCCCAAGGCAGTAGTCTGGGAGCTGACCTTGTTCATGAAGACAGAGGCAAAAAAAGCATTGAGTACATTAGCTTTTTCCATATCCTCTGTCACTAGGTTGCCTCCCTCATTCAGTAAGGGGCCCACACTTTCCTTGACTTTCTTCTTGTTGCTAACATACCTGAAGAAACCCTTCTTGTTACTCTTAACATCTCTTGCTAACTGCAACTACAGGTGTGATTTGGCCTTCCTGATTTCATTCCTGCATGCCCAAGCAATATTTTTATACTCTTCCCTGGTCATTTGTCCAATCTTCCACTTCTTGTAAGCTGCTTTTTTGTGTTTAAGATCTGCAAGGATTTCACTGTTAAGCCAAGCTGGTCGCCTGCCATATTTACTATTCCTACTACACATCGGGATGGTTTGTCCCTGTAACCTCAATAGGGATTCTTTAAAATACAGCCAGCTCTCCTGGACTCCTTTCCCCCTCATGTTATTCTCCCAGGGGATCCTGCCCATCAGTTCCCTGAGGAAGTCAAAGTCTGCTTTTCTGAAGTCCAGGATCCGTATTCTGCTGCTTTCCTTTCTTCCCTGTGTCAGGATCCTGAACTCGACCATCTCATGGTCACTGCTTCCCAGGTTCCCATCCACTTTTGCTTCCCCTACTAATTCTTCCTGGTTTGTAAGCAGCAAGTCAAGAAGAGGTCTGCCCCTAGTTGGTTCCTCCAGCACTTGCACCAGGAAATTGTCCCCTACAGTTTCCAAAAACTTCCTGGATTGTCTGTGCACCGCTGTATTGCTCTCCCAGCTGATATCAGGGTGATTGAAGTCTCCCATGAGAACCAGGGTCTGCGATCTAGTAACTTCCTTGAGTTGCCGGAAGAAAGCCTCGTCCACCTCATCCCCCTGGTCCAGTGGTCTATATCAGACTCCCACCACGACATCACCCTTGTTGCTCACACTTCTGAACTTAATCCAGAGACTCTCAGGTTTTTCTGCAGTTTCATACCGGAGCTCTGAGCAGTCATACTGCTCCCTTACATACAGTGCAACTCCCCCACCTTTTCTGCCCTGCCTGTCCTTCCTGAACCATTTATATCCATCCATGACAGTACTCCAGCCATGTGAGTTATCCCACCAAGTCTCTGTTATTCCATCACATGATAATTCCTTGACTTTGCCAGGACTTCCGGTTCTCCCTCCATAATGCCTCCATAAAACTCCCCTTTATTGTGACGTCTACAAAAAACTTCACAACAGGTAGGCTGCTGGTGTGCAGAGACCACTGTCTGTCATGCTAACCAATATTGTCTTGCTGTTTCCTTGCACTTCCCCATCAGTCTGTGGGTATCCGTCTACTGTCTCTTGTCTTATACTTAGATTGTCAGCTCTTTGGGGACTGTCTTTTTGTTCTGTATTTACAGTGTCTCATGCACAGGGGTCGTGGTCTATGACTGAGGCTCCTAGATGCTGTGGTAACACAAATAAATAAATAAACGAATACATAGACACTGGAATTGGTTCATGGAAAATTCACTATAAGAGAGACTTCTGTTTATAAGACTGGGTCATCCAACCAGGGAACAAAATGATACCATGGGCCAGACCTTTAAATGTATTTAGGCACCTAAAGATGCAGTTTGGTGGCTACTGGGATTTCAAAAGCACCTAGGTGCCGAACTGCCTTTCACTTACATGGCAGTTAGGCATCTACTCACTTTTGAAAAATGGAAGAGGTGCCGACCCGCATCTTTTGGTTCCTAAATACTTTTAAATATCTGGCCCCTGTGTCTTAGCTGTGTACTTGCACAGCACAGAGGGAGGATTTGAACCATCAGTTTGCAAGCAATCCATAGGCAAGTATTTGCTGACACGATTATTATTGTTAGTCATTATTGCTATTGTAGTGCACTCAGAGTGTAAATAACGACGACATGAGTAAAAGTCACTTCCTGTTCACCACTAATTCACCGTGAGAAGAAGGTTGGACTTGTGAGGTGCATCGCTTGCCATGGTAAAGCTGGAGCTCCGGGGGGAGAGCTTGCCCTAGGCTGCCCTCCACATCTCAAAGACGGGGGGCCTCAGCTTCAGTCTGGCTTGCTGCTCCGCGCAAAGGCAGCCCCTGGGAAAGGCTCTCGGGTTGCCTTGCGGGGCAAAAGGATTCTTCTCATCCCTTGCACCCTGCCCACGCGCAGCAAGAGTTTGGAGGAGTTCTCTGCATCCCTTCCTTCACGGCTGAATGCTGTCTCGGACACAGGTGGGAATCCAAACTTCGCTGCGGCAAGGACCCGTGAGAGCTGCCGAGGCTGCTCCGCTCAGACACCGGCTTCCCGGCGGGCCAGCGAAGAAGCTGGAGAGAGCTGCGGACACGGGAGGAAGAGGAATCGAGGGGTCTGTGGCTGAGACCGAAGCCCACAGGTGATCTATTTACGTTAAGTTTGCTTAGCGTGTTTGAAATGAGTTTGTGTAACTGGCAGGTGAAGCGCCAGTTAGAGAGAGAGAGAGGATTTTCAGAGACCTCCTTTTGATGTTCGAGGGGCCATGTTCTTCTCTCGGTACACAGCGGTGCTGTGGGCAACCTGGCTGTGACTCTATAGGTAAGACGGGGTTACAGATTTCAGTCGGCACGAGCACGGAAACACACCTGGTCATTCTGGGCTGCTCAGGGAAAAAGGAAACCCGGCAGGCTGCAGTGGAAGAGGAGGTTGAATTTGCAGTTGCTCAGAATGGAGTTAGGAGGTTATTGTTTTTATAAGAAGGACTTACGCCTACTCATTTGACAAATTGAGCAAGGCAGTGTCTCGCCTTGGCGTTAGTTTTCTCTGGTACTAAAATTACTTCCTAAAAATGGCTGGGATTTGGTTTACCAGTTAATGAAAAAACATATGGTTGGGAATCACTTGTGTTTTATCTGTGTCACTTCTTCTGTTTTTGAGGGGGGGAAAATAAGGTTTCCTGATAGCTGCAAATAAGCGCACCAAGCTGAACCCACTGCATTTAACATTACAGATCCACGGGTGAGAAGAAACCTCACAAAGAGCGAGGGCATGGGAGGATATGTTGGGAATGTGCATTGTTTTTTGTTATCTGTGGGACACTGAAGTGAAAGCTTTAGAGGAGTGTTGGAACGTGTAATTAACAGTGCTGTAGGCAATATGAAGGTGGCAAAGAATGCAGGAGACTTTTCCCTCAGCTTCCTTTCTCCATGCTTTCTAGGTGTTGTGTGTGCCAAGTGCATTGTGATGCAGCTTTAACTGTCACTAACTGTAGTTTTTGCTTGTGTTTAGTGTCTGTAACTCCATTTATAGTGGAGTAACCGAGAGCAGAATTTGGCTATAGCTACATGGTTAATGTTAACATCCGTTTTCAGTGGGAAGATGTATGAGGAGAAGTGTGTTTTAATAATCGCATGGGATTTATCAATATTCACAATAAAGCTGTGGATGGGCCATTCAAAGTTCACTCATTCCTGCATTTCTGTCACTAATTAGCTCAGTCCTGAAATCGGAAGAAATTGCAAGTATTAAGGAGGTTTAGAGAGCTGAAGAATCCCACCTCAATATCACAGTGAAAATGTAACTTGCACATGCTGACATGAAAACAGCTCACTGAAGACTAGCCCACATAAGTGCCAGCCAAAATTGCTGCCCCTGAGGTCAGGGGCCCACCAGGCTGCTGCTGTGATGCTCCCCTGCAGGGCCCTGGCACCCCAGAAGAGGAGGGGAAGGGAAAAGAGTAGACAGAGCTATTGCTCTGCCCCTGCTCCCCCACCTCCATGGCCTGTTCAGCTCCACGGGGGAGAATATGTCAGACCCCAGGAAGGTGTATAGCAGCTTCCACACAGTGGACTGAAGGGTTCCATGTGCCCTCTGGCCTGTGAATCTCTTCAGTACCCCAGTCCTGGGCTGTGCCACAATCCAGCTCTCAATCCATTTATGTTATAAGACAAAAGTCTCATCAAGTTGGGCTCTAGCTCACCTGTTTAATTACAAGAGTTCATCGCTGATACTCTGGTCCTCCCTGCTCTCTCGTCACATCTTGTCTCAAAATTATTCTGTGAGCTCTTCAGGGCATGGATTGTATTTTACTATAAATGTATTCTCAGCACTTAGCCCAATGGGGCCAGCAGTCTTGGCTGGGGCCACTAGTCACTTCTTTAACAAGCACACAAAAATACTAGTTTGTGTGAGCTGAGGTCACTCTCTACACAACATACATTACAAGGAGGGCGACCAGGAGAGGCTACTGGGTGTTTTGGAGGAGTAACTTTGGATTCTATGCTTAGTGGTCAAGGCACGTGAGGCACTGTCTGTTTGGTCTCTTTGTTGTTTGTTTGTGTCTTGGGGAGGGCTGCGTGGCTAGAGTCCTGGGCTGTTTGATCAGCTCTGGTGTTTGAAATCTGTAAACAAGTAAATAGGCTTTTCGTTTGGGTCTGTGTTTTTTTTTTACAGATGGCTCACCCAGATATGGAAGAAGGAAATCTGGCAAGAGATGAACTTTCCCATGGTAAGAAAGTGACATTAAAATCCTTGTTGTGCTCCCATTGCTGCCTTTATGCTCTACTCAGCTTTCCGTGTAGTGGAAAATGAAAGTCCCAAAAATGATAGGTTTCAACTTACAGGTCAGATATACCTTTATCCACCTGAACAGCTACAGTAGCTCCCCAGAACAGATGAACGCCTCCCCACCTGGATGGGAATAGGCTGTCCTGAGTGCGGATGTGAGCTCCTCAAATAGGAGAGGGAAATCCAGGTTTCCAGGACTACCAAATGTTCTGTGTTTCTGACCAAATGGCAGGTTGTTTGTTTGTTTGTTTGTCTGTTTGAAAATTGTTTTTATTTTGGATGACTCTGGAGTTATTAATGGTTGGAAAAGTAAGAGACTGATGATAGTGTGGAGTAGAGCCAGGTACAGTGTATGGCAAAAAAAAAAATTGTGCAAGGTTTGTTGCTCTGCCAATGTACCTCAGTCCTGATGCGCAATTTCCCATTATTCCAGTTCTTCCCTCCTTCTCCATGGCTCTGCCAATGCACAGCACACTTTTCCATTGATAGGATTCCCATACAACTCTGCCAGTTCACCTTAACTCTCACCTGCAGGGACAGGCTGCAGGGATGTCAGCCAGAGAGGGGATTACAATAGTCAAGATGCAAAATGATCAAGGCATGGGCAGAAGTTTTGGTGGTGTAGCCAGAGAGAAAAGGTCACATCCAGGAGACATAGTGCAGCAAGAAATGGCAAAATGTATATATAGGTGGTAAGTGAGGGTCAGAAGAGAAGGGGAAGTCAAAGATGAAGCCAAGTGTATGGGTTTGAGTAACAGGAGTTTTTGGGGAAAGATCAGGAGCTTACTGTTGGCCATAACATATTTCAGCTGATGGCTGGACATCCACAAGGAGACGTCAGAAAGACGTGTTGAGATATGCTGCCTGATCTATTGATTGTATATTAATTCTATTGATTACGTAAGAATGTTATACCAATAAAATAAAAACCAGCAGGATCTTATTAAAGGGAAAAAGGCAAAATACCACATTTACTGTGAATACAGAAAGAATCATAGTAAGCAGTTAGTTATAGCTATAACATTCCATTCAATCTCATATTTATTCACACACTCATTCATACAAACACACACACAGGTTCTGCAAGGTTGTTATCATAGTTACCAGCCTTAGAGTTGCTCATGCCAAGCCACTGGCCAGGTGGCCTGGACATGAGGAGGGAGCAGGGCCTTGTCAGATGCTCATCTGATGCTCCTGGAAGTTGGTTCGCAGAATCAGACCCCAAAGTTCTCACTTTCTAGAGTCCATTTTTATAGGAATTTCTTCCTAGGCCAGTCTATGGGAATTGCTTCATCATGCTGTTGGTGAATCAATCAGCAGATAGCACATTCCTGACAGCTCCAAGATGTTATCTTGTTCTTTGGTTCTCCCATTCTTGAGGCTGTTGGGTGGATTCCAGTCTGCCCTCTGGGGGTCCTCTGGTTATTTCCACTTGACGCCTTCTTCAGCCGATGGACACTGGATTCTTAGGCTGGCACCTCCCTGATCATTCAGTTATTATCCACACCAAACATCCATCCACATACATCCTCTATCTCTATTTTAATCACAATTGTTAATACAACAAAAGGGCGGGGAGTCTCTGGGTGCTGTTTCTGTTGTTAGAGTATTGCTTTGAGTCTCTCTCTCTGTGAATTGCTTTGAGAACAGACTCTGTCTTAGAATGTACTAACACAATTAGCAGCTTGCAAGTTTCACACATAGAGGGAGAGAAACAGTACCAAAAACCAAGAGACCTCTTAATTAGTAATACCCTGGAATTTAAACTCTGGGGAATCAAACTCATTTGTGATTTTAATACAGAACTTCTTTAATATGATCCAACAAGAATGCCCACTTAACACTGTAGGGTTTTGTAGATTCTAGTCTCAAAATTAGACCCATAGTTATTAGAATTGCTATTAATTTGGCAACCACAATGTGCAGGGTTGCAACAGTCACACTTAGGAAAGACCTGTGTTCATTTGTAATAGTTTTATTAATACAGTTAGCAAAGTTACAAATGCTCCATCCCAGCAAAGTAGATAATACAGCATGAGCATCTGAGCATCCATATACTCACACCTAAAATGTTAGTCATCCTCATCACATCACCAGTGGTCGTCCGCCTGGCATCTCCCAAGGCACAGCAGCTGAGATACAGCTTTTATAATGTGTTATGCTGAAGCTACTATGCCTGATGCATATTCAGCAGGAGCTTCCCCCCTTTTCCTTATCTGCATTTCCTCATCCTACTAATGTTGGGGTGCCCTTCTCCCAGAGGTTACTAGTCCTTTTACCTCAAGCTCCTTGGCATACACGTCCATTAGTTACCACGGCGTTCCTGTGGTCAGACATGTGCTGATGTCCCTAACTTAAAATATCTCAAGCTGGTATAAACTATCACCTTCTGGTTACCTGTCAGCAGTTTAGGCATTACAGGCCTCTGTCTTGTGTTAGCTTATGATTTAGGGTTACTCCTAGTTAACTGCTTAAGCTAAGGCTTTTTAGGCCTTGATTAGTTTAGCTAAGCTATTGTCTTACAGACCTTGAGGCCTGTAGGATCCTGGCATTATTGCCTTGACTTAAACCTATGCCTTACCTAGCAAAAACTTATACCTATAGGTGACAGATATTAGTTTGGTTGGAGGGAGACAGGTCCAGAGTAGACAGGTGGATTTGTGCATCGTCAGTATGAATGGGTTTCAAAGACATATTTGCAGACGAGATTGCTCAGAGATGTAGTGGGGAGAGAGAGAAGAGGAGGGTGCCAAGGACAGAGCCCTAAGGGACCTCTACTGAAAGAGAGAGAAGAAGAAGACCCACCCAATGAGACACTGAAGGAGTGATCCAAGAGGTAGGAGGAGAACCAAGAGAGGATGGCATCAGGAAAACCCAGGGATGATCTGATTTGAAAAAGAAGATTGTGGGTGACAGTGTCAAAGGCCACCCATAGATAAAGAAGGAAATCTGGTCAAGAAAAGATCATTAGAGACTTTGGTAAGAGCCATTTCAGTGCAGTATAGGGAGCAGGAGCTAGACTGAAGGGGTAAAAGAGGTGGGATGGTAATTTGAAGGGGGGATTGTCTCAACACTGCAATTATTTTATGACGATGGTGATGATGACACACACATGTGTTATGAGAAGGAGGCTGATGAGAGCAAGAGATTGAGAAGGGTGAGGGCAATGGCGAGAATGGGGGATGAGGAAGTTCAAAAGGCTGGAGAGTGTGGGGGTCACTGGGGCAGGTGGAGGAGAGTCTTAGTATCTGTGACAGAGGAAAAGGAGGAGACTGTGACAGGAGGTGATGGAAGAAGGGGGGGAAGAGGGGTTTCCTTGGATTTTTGTCATTTTTTTCTTTGAACTAACTGGCAGAATGCTGTGCAAAGAAGGAAGAAAGTGTGTGGAAGAGGGTGAGGGGTTTAGGAGGGATTCAAAAGTTCTGAATCAGTGGCTAGGGTTATGGGCACGGGAGTCAATGCGAATGGCGAAGTTGTGCGGCATCACTAGAGAGATAACAGAGTTGAAGGAGGAGTCAGAATTACTAAAAGTCAAGCTGAATTAGCTCATGCCAAGGTAATTAAAATAAATAAGAGGTTTTTTAGTTATATAAATAAGAAGAGACTAAGGAAGGATGAGGTGGGGCTGCTACACCATGTGGATGGGAAGGAGATTAAAGATAATCTAGCTGTGGCCCTCAAACTAAATACTTTGCTTCAGTTTACAATAAGGATGATAATATGGAACATGAACATGAAGGCAGGACTGCTGATGGAAATGAGTCTGTAGAAATGGAAATTATCACATCAGAGATGGAAGAAAAAACATAAAGAGCTTAATGAGCTCAAACTGGGGGAAACAGATAATTTCCATCCCAAAAATACTTGCATATGAGATTGCTATTCCAATGCTAAGGATTTTTAATAAATCTGTCTATTTGAGGGTAGTACCATATGACTGAAGAAGAGCTAATGGCATATCTGTATTTAACAAAAGGGAAAAAAAGTGATCCAGACAATTACAGATCTCTGAGTCTGACCTCAGTAGTATGCAAGGCTTTAGAACAAATTGTGAAAGAAAGAATAATTAAATTCATGAGGTAAATGGTCAAGGGGATGTAATGTGACATGGCTTTACCAAAGATAGATCTTGCCAGATTAACCTGATTTCCTTCTTTAAGAAAATAACTGATTTTTTAGATAAGGGAAATGCAGTAGATCTAAAATACTTGGACTTCAATAAAGCATTTGATACAGTACCACTTGAGAAATGATTAGTGGAATTAGAGAAGATGGGAATCAGTACAAGAAATGTCCAGAGGAGAAGGAAGTGGCTAAAGGGGAGGAGATGATGGGTTGTGCTGAAAGGTGAATTATTGGGCTAGAGGGAGGTTACTGGTGGAGTTTCTCAAGGGTCAGTCTTGTCACGAATCATATTAAATATTTTTATTAATAACCTTGGCACAGGAGTGTGCTAATGAAAGTTGCTGCCGATACAAAATTGGGAGACATCATCAATACAGAGGAGGATCAGAACATTATATAGGAAGATCTGGAAGACTGGAGTGACAGAAATGGGATGGAATTCAATAATACAAAGTGCAAGGTCATGCACTTTGGGTCTAATAGTAAGTATTTCTGCTACATCCTGGGGGATCATCAGTTGGAAGCGACAGAAGAGGAGAGAGACCTGGGACTGTGGGTCAGTCACAGGAGGACTACAAGCCACCAGTGTGATGCAGTTGCAAAAAAAAGGCAAATGTGATCCTAGGATGTATCAGGTGAGGTATCAGGAGATAGAGAAGTATCAATGCCACTGTACAGGGCATTGGTAAAACGTCACCAGAATACTGTGTTCAATTCTGGTCACCCATGTTGAAGACGGATGAATTCAAGCTGGATGAAGAATGAATTGATGTGTAGGGAACAGCTACTAGGCTGATCAGAGAGGAGATCTGTCTA